GGTGACATGTTCATTATGGTATCATGCAGAATATTTTCACTGCCCTAAGAATCTGTGTTCTATCTATTCATTCCTCCATGCCCACCTTAAGCCTGACAACTGCTGATCTTTTTACTGTGTATGTAGTTTTGCCTTTTCCAGAATGTCATACAGTTAGAATTACAGAGTATGTAGCATTTTCAGATTGGCTTCTTTCACTTAGTAATAGGTACTTAAGGTATCTCTGTGTTTTTTCATGGCTTGATAGCTCATTTCTTTTTGTCACTGTGTAATACCCCATTGCCTCAGTATATGAGCCAGTATATGAGGCAGCCAGTATATGCCACTGAGGGACATCTTGGTTGCTTGCAAGTCTTGGCAATTATGAATAAAGTTTCTATAACCATTCATGTGTAGGTGTTTGTGTGGACATAAGTTTCAATTCCTTTGGGTAAGTACCAAGGAGAGCAATTGCTGAATGGTGTTTAGTTTTGTAAGAAACCACCAGCTATCTTCCAAAGTGTCTGTACCATTTTATATTCCCACCAGCAACAAATGAGAGTTCCTATTGATTCACAACCTTGTCAGCACTTGGTGTTGCCAGTGTTCTAGATTTTGGCCATTGTTAAATAGGTGTATGGTGGTATCATGTTCCACCTCATTTTGCTCTTAGGTTTTACCTTCTCTTCTAGCTTACATGCTTCTTGAAGGCAAGGGTCATGCACAGCTTTTTACCCTCAACCACTCCTTGTGTATTCACTTGCATGTAAAGTCACTCAGAAGTGTGCCAAAACATTGAAGATGATGAATGTCTTTGAATTGGTTAAGAGTTCAGTTAGAGGGGAAGAACTATCACTTACTGAATAAATTTGTCAACCATTTGAAATACTTGCAATTTTCCTGTTAATCCTCACAATAGTCCTATGATAAAGACAAAATTATTCCCATTTTGCCAAAAATGGACTAACTGAGGCTTAAAATAGTAAGTGAATTGCCCATCATCAGTAGAGTCAGCTAGACCTGTGGTTCTAAACAAGGTCCGTCTGGCCTAAAGCTGATTTCATGAGAATGGGCTGTACCTGCAGTTAGAGCCAAGCTCCCAATCTTAGATGCCCATGGGCCAGGTAGACAAGGGAGGATGCTGGGGATGGGGGTAGAGTAAAGAAGGGGGCAGCCTCTACTTACCTCTAGCTAACTATTAAACAACATTTTTAGAATCAGAGAATCCATAAATTTGGATTTTTTTGGAGGGGATTGCAAAATCTTCCAAGTTTTATATTTTGGCACCCAATTTAATAATAACACTTAAAAAGTAAATATAGGTCTGTGGGCCAAATTTAGGCTACAAAGGGAAGGTTTCTAGCTATTGTATTAAAGAATAGTTTAAAAGAGTAGCAGCTCTTTTTCCCCAAGTATGTATTATAATCCCAAATGAAGTAAAATACTGCCTGTCAAGAAAAATTTAGAGAGCTATCATTAATAGTTCACTCTTTTGTTGGTATGTAAAATGTTTATGGATAATACTTGTTAAGAAGTAGTTACCAATTTACTATTCAGTGTGGAGCCCAGCTAGTGAATGAATACGGTTACTATTTTATTCCAGTTGATAAGAAGTTCTAATCTAGAACTTCATGAAAATAGCAAAAGCATTTATTGAGTTGTGAACTAATGCTGCATACTCAACTATCCACAATTTCTAAGTATCTTATGTAAATATATGCACTCTCCCACAAGAAATTACAAATAACATACATATGTAACCACATATAGCTTTGCTGTTAATTGCTAGTTGCCCATTATTAGTATGTAGATCATGCCCTTTGTCAGAAGCAGCTAGAGTAGTCTCTTATTCTTCCTCTTGGCCCTATCTATTGTTATCCTGATCCAGGTCACCAGCCTGTGTTGTCTTTTTCAGTGGCCAAGGTAGTCTAGTCTCTCTTTTGACATAAGTGTTATGATAACTACAGAAAACTCTATCTTTCTGCTGCATCTCTTGAAGTTTGCATCTGCACAGAGCTTAGCTGAATTTTTATTGTTTTAACAAATTTTGTTCCTAGCAGCTATTTGAGGATGTGATGTAGGGAGGTAAAGCCCCCTCACTGTCAATGTTTGAATGTCTCTAAATGTCCTCATTTGGCATTCCCTTGAAGAGATAGATTTAATGAGCCTCCATGATTTCTATGTAGAAAAAAAGAATGTCTTCTAGGATATTGCTAAGGCTTAAATGTCTGTTCTTCAATGATCATGCCTCACCTTTCATTGTAGATATGTTGACTTTACCACTGCAAGGATATTTCTTGTCCCTGGATTTTTCAAAATGTCCTGCCCTTTTAAAGTGGGGCGTGTTCTTTTACTCTGTCCTGCTTCCCTCTTTTCTTCTCTCCTTGTTTTGCTCTGCCAGAAAAACCACTTTAATTATTTGAACTTATTTTAGAATTTAACAGCATGCTTCTACATAGCATGCTTTCACTGCACTTTGTTGATTTTTAAATTTTAAGTGTTATCTATGCAATTTCAAATAAGAAAGGATTTAGCTCTATTTCATGCTTGATCCCTACCACAAAACAAAATCTTCCCATTTCCCTATTTTTTCAGTAGAATTAATTGAAATTTGTTATATTGGTATTCCTATGGTCAATGACTATATTATTATGGCTCTATAATCACTATTCACAATCAAGTCATGAATTATGCTATGATGTATTTTTTCTACTGTTCTGAAATTTCACATTGATGTGTCTTGGTGTACATTTATTTTCATCCACTTTGCTGGTAGCTTAATGTGCCTTTTAAATTTGGAGCTTATGGGGCAACTGGGTGGCTCAGTCAGTTAAACGTCTGCCTTTGGCTCAGGTCATGATCTCAGGGTACTGGGATTGGGCACCCTGCTCAGGGGGGGATGTCTGCTTCTCCCTCTTCCTCTTCCCCTCCCCCGCCCATGTTCTCTGTCTCTTACTTGCTCTGTCTAGGTAAATAAATACAATATTAAAAAAAAAAAATTCACATACCTCTTTAAAAAAATAAATTTGGAGCCTATATCCTTCCATTATGGGGATTTTCTTGAATAATAATACTACTACTACTAATAATAATATAGGTTCTTGTTTGGATGGTTCATTTATACCTATTTCCTTCACTCTCTAATTCATTTTATGATGTTGGATCTCCTGGACTATATCTTTAATGTTATTATCTTTAATTTCCTCTTTTCAGTTTTTGCATCTTTATGTTCTGATTTTCTGAGAAGTCTCTTCTTTACTCTTTCCTTCCCTTCTCTTCTCTCATGACTACTTTGGGTTTAGTTTGCTCTTTTATTTTCCAGTTTCTTAAAGTGGAAAGTTAGGTTGCTGACTTAAGATCTTTCTTCCATTTTAGTCTAGATTTTTATAGTTATAAATTTCCTTCTTAAGAATATTTTAGCTTCATCCCATAAATTTTAGTATGTTGTGTTTTTGTTTTCATTCATTTTAATATATTTTCTAATTTTTCTTGTGATTTCTCTTGACCCATTTGTTATTTAGGACTTTATTGTGTGATTTCCACATATTTGTGAATTTCTTTAATGTCCTTCTGTTATTGATTTCTAATTACATTTCATTGTTCCTGGAGAACATATTTTGTATGATATAAATCCTTATACACATACTGAAACTTGTTTTATGGCCTAACACCTGGAATATCCTGGAGAATGTTCCATGTGCCCCCAATAATTATATTTTTCTCTCATTGGTGGAGAGTTCTATAGATCTCCAGGAGGTCTAGCTGGTTTGTAGTGTTGTTCACCTCTTCTGTTTTCTTGTTGATATTTTGTTTAGTTATCCTATCCAATATTAAAAGTGGGGTTTTCAAGTCGCAAGCATTTTTGTTGAATTGTGTATTTCTCACTTTAATTATGTCAGTTTTGATTACATTTATTTGGGGGTTTGTTAGTTGATATGTTTATAATCAGGGCTTCTTGATAGATTTACTTTTTATCATTATAAAATGTCTTTGTCTTTAGTAACAATTTTGTCCTAAGTTTTATTTTATTTGATATGAGTATCACTCTAACTTCTTTTGGTTACTCTTTGCCTGGTATATCTTTTACTGTCCTATTACTTTCCACCTATTTGTGTCTTTGACTCTGAAGTGTATCTCTTGTATCTCTTCATCTGTCACTCTCTAACTTTTGATTGGAGTGTTTAATACATTTACATTTAATGCAATCCCTGCCAAGTGATTTATGTCTACAAGTTTGCTATTTATATCTCTTATGCTTTTTGTCTTTTTGTTTCCCTATTCCTCCACTGCTGTTTTGCTTTGTGTTAATTAGGTATTTCCTACTATACCATTATGAACTCCCTAGGTTACTATCTTTGTTAGACTACTGGTTTTCAAAGCTATTCCAGAACTAGGTAGAATGTTGGGAATAGGCCAAGTTAGAATACCACAAACCTCATTATCCAATTAAACTCAGTGTTTTTCCTGAATAAACACCGCTCAAATAGTTTTATGTCATTGGTTAATTTCCAAAGTTCAGAATAAGTTCATTTTGACAATTTTTGCTAGTATTCCATTAATCTTTATGGGGGAGAAGATTATCAGGTATCCTTTTGCCACTATTACAGAAGTGCCTTCAGAGATTTCTTGAAGTCTATTTTCCATTCTTTCTTTTGGCAAAATTTATTCTGTATTATTATTATTATTATTAAGTAAGTGTCTGCTCTTGTTTCTTGGACATAATAGCTGGGATATTTTCTCTCTCTGAAGATATTATTAAAAGTTAAAAAAATTTTTGCCCTATATTATCTCTGTTTCTTCCAATTTGGTTTAACTTCTTCGTTTTGTCCTCTCTTCTATGTTAGAACTCTCTTCAGACAATAATGGCAACTCTAGTAGCAAACATTTATTGAGCATCTACTATGTGGTCATCACTCTTCTAGTGGATTATACATATTAACGTATTTAATATATATTAACTTATTTCATTCTTCTCACATTAAATATCACAGGTGACTGCTGTCATTTCTTCCATTTTACAGATGAGAAGCTGGGCGATAAAGAAGTAAGTAACTTGCCTTAAAGTTACATAGTATAAAATTGCAGAGTTGGAATTCAGGTATAGTTTGACTTCTACATCCTCTTTCTCAAATAGCTCATCCCTGGGTTATCTGCTTCTATGTACCAGTGGGGTTGTGAATATTCTGATCATATGGGTGGGACTTGTTGACTGTGTGGCTGTCATCTGTGGGGTAAATTGGGTACTTCTTGGCTTTTCTCATTGTTAATTTCTCTTGCTAGCTTTCTTTTGTCTGCTAATCAGTTATCACTAGTCCATTAGCTTTTTATCATCCACATTTTTTTCTGTTTTTGTTCTCATTTTTTTTCCCTTTTTACACCTGTGAGTTTATGCCTTAGGGAGGTAAAAGGTTTACTATCATTTTAGTAGGGGTTTGGGAAGAATCAGAACTAAATGCATGCTTTCGATACACTGCCTGTTTAATCATTTTAAGCATATCTATCTATCTATCTATCTATCATCTATCTATCATCTGTTATGAGAAGTTCTTGGAGGTCTTCCTTCCATCTATCTGCTGGTTTAACATGAATACTAAAATTTTCCTATTCAGCTCTATAATTTTGTCTTGCATGTATATCCTCAGTGGAAGCTTTATCTAAGGGGTTTCTGTGTGGTTTGGGCTGAGTTTTTCTCCATCTAGATGTTTCTCATTTTCTCCTGCCAGGTGCTCCAGGATGTCTTTTTATGTTAATTTCATGCCTTAGGAATACAGGACTCTGCAAAGAGAGTGTGAAATAAAACTGAAGCTCAAGGGAAGATGAGCTTTGGTTAAGAATTTTTAGGGGAGGTTCCTCCCACTCCTCGTGCCTGAAATTTAGAACTGCACCAGCCTCCATGTTCCTTTTCTGTGCCAGTGAGCATATAGAACACCATTTCACTGAAAAAACAGTACTCCAAAGATTCTGGATTAAGGATGAGGGTCTCATTTCCAACTCTCCTCATCTCATAGTTTCCAGGTCTTATGTACTATGTGTGTAGCTATTAAAATCAAAGCTCTTGGGCTAACTGAAACCAGACCAATCCCTTCCCCAATCATCAAACCAGGACAACATGATAATATATCACTGAGTTTCCTTTATCTTCATTTTTTACCCCTGGGGATTTCTCTTACTTTTATTTGAGTGCAGATATGTATTTAAAAGGATACTTGTGATATTTTAACCAGAATATCTATATGTTTTATAGAAAAAGGTTTTGTGTTATTTGATTTGCTATTGTTGTCTGCAGTTCCTAAAATTAACTTTTCTTGTTGAATTATTTCATGTATACCCCATGAATGTTATCCTCACTTTGAAAGTATGTGTGATTTTTTTCCATGACATCGCTGCTAAGTCAAGGAAAGTATTTTTCCCCAGCTTTATTGGGATATAACTGACATATAACATTGTGTAAATTTAAGGTACATACGTGTCAAATTGATGCATTTATATGCATTTATGTGATCACCAACCACCATAAGTGTTAGCTAACACACCCATCACATCACATAATTACCGTGTCTTTTTGTGGTGAGAACATTTAAGATCTACTCTCTTGGCAAATTTCAAGTATATAATATAGTATTATTAACTATAATCACTATGATAGACATTAGATCCTCAGAACTTACTTACCTTATAACGTGAAGTGTTTTTTTTTTTTTAAGATTTAATTTATTTGGCAATAAGAGACACAGCAAGAGAGGGAACACAAGCAGGGGAAGTGGAAGAAGTAGAAGCTGAACAGGGAGCCTGATGAAGGGCTCAATCCTGGGATCATGACCTGATCTGAAGTCAGATGCTTAATGACTGAGCCACCCAGGTGCCCCTTATAACTTGAAGTTTATGCTTTTTACCAACATCTCCCCATTGCCTACCACCCAGCCTCTGGTAACCACCATTATAGTCTCTGTTTCTGTGAGTTTACCTTTTTTAGACTCCACATATAAGTAATATATAATATTTATATTTTTATGTGTGATTTATTACACTTAGCATAAATTGTTACAAAAGGCAGCATTTCCTTCTTTCTCATGGGTGAATAATACTCCATTGTATATGTACCATATCTTTTTATCCATTCATTCATTGATAGATATTTAGGATGTTTCCATATCTTGCCTATTGTGAATAATGCTGCATTGATCATGGGAGGGCAGATATCTCTTCAATTCTTTTGGAGAAATACTTAGAATGAGATTGCTTGATCACATCGTAGTTACATTTTCAAATATTTCCGAGGAATCTTCATATTGTTTTCTATAGTGGTTGCACCAATTTACATTTCCACCAACAGTGTTCAGAAATTCCCTTTTCTCCACATCCTTGCCAACACTTGTTCTGTCTTGTTTTGAGGATAGCCATTCTAACAGGTGTGAGATGGTATTTCATTTGTATTTCTGTGATGATTAGTGATATTGAGCGCCTTTTCTTGTTTAAGAATGTATTTTTAAAGTGGCCTAAAGGAGTTTGAGACTGAACTAGCAGAGGTAATAGTTTCTATTCTGTGAGGATAAGACCTAACTAGAACATGGCATTGTGTTCTAGATACTTCACTTTCCAGAATAATAGACTTGTGGTGTGTTATGACAGGGACAGTTAGCATGGCAAAACATCCTCTTATAAGGATACTTGTGATTGCATTTAGGACCCACCTGGATAATCCAGGACAATCTCACTATCTCAAGATCCTTATCCTGTAAGGATGTAATCATATCCTGCAAAGTTATTTTTTTCCCATATAAGGTAATATTCACAGATTCCAGGGATTAAGACATGGTTATCTTTGGAGGTCTGTTATTCAGCCTATAACAGCAAGCTTTGTGAATATCAAACTATCTTCTTTGCTCTAAGAACACTTTCTACAATATCTTGGGCAAGTGTCCTCTAGCCTCTCTTGAGTAATGTCAGTGTTAGAGAACTAATATCAACAGTCATTAGATTGTACTTAAATATCTTTTAACCCTTTCCTATTTCCAAGAATCTATGGTTTTGAAGTTTTTGTTTTTAAGTTCCTTTTGCAATCTCATTTATATTGACTTACTTTCCATTTGTGCAATCTATATAAAAAAAATAATGTGCTAAGTTCAGGTGAATTTACCCAATCCATGTCTGAGAAGTTATTGAGGTTTCATAGTGACCTATTACATTTAAAATAAGGAAAGTATATTAATAAAAATTTTATGTTTGCAAGTGTTAAAAAAAATAACTCTGTGATTAAATCAGTGATAGGAATTTATTGGCTTATATACCAGAGAAATCCCAGAATAAGTGTAGCTTCAGCTGGATCCGGGTACTCAGATGGTGTCTTGGTTGCTTAGAAGTTGGTCACTCCATATATTAGTTTCAGTTTTGTTGAATTGATTTTATTTAGTAAGCTAATTCTAGGATGACAGGATGATCACCAGTGACCCGGGCAACCTTGCTATCTTAGACATCCGTGGAAAGAGCTCTATTAAAAAAATTTCTAGAATTTGCATTCAGTGGGCTGGCCTAAACTTGAATCAAGCCAGCCCCAATGATACTGCAGGGACGTAGAGTAAGGAGTCTCCCATGAAATATTAAAAAAGCCACTATCAGCAAACAGGAAATACTTGTTGGTCAGGCTACAAAAACAGATGTGCTATGTAAAACATCACATGTAATATGCAAAACATTGCATATGATATATGTAATCATAGTTTCAGCTGTATGTTTTGCTGGAGGCTATGGAATCAATCCCAGTGCTCTATAGCTGTGTGTCAGGCTCTGTGTACATTTGTGTTTGTTTGTATTTTAGATAAAATTTACCAGATGGGAGAAATCCATTGGTGTTGCCTAGCTGGCCTGGTGGAAGAGATCAGAGGATGTGGGTAAATTCATCTTTGAACAAATGAATTAAATATGCACAGTAAATGGTTTATTGCACAGCAGGAAATTGGTGCCTAAGCATTGGGGAAGAAAGCAAAGCTAGCAGAGCAGCAAGCCTCATGCAGTCACTCCTATGGTCAGGTCTGAGAGGTGGCGATAGCCAGGAGGCTAGCAGAGTGCTTTGTAGCACAGAGCTCGTCTGAGTGTGCAATATGTTACCTACAGCTGGGTCTGGCATAATCAGTCCTGACTAATGGGAGGTGAGAGGAAGGGGTTCAAGTGCTGAATAAATAAATTACTTAATTACATATTATCAGAGAGAAGAGCAGATGGTCAGCTTAGCCCATCTCCTGGTGCTTTTGGCTTCAGAATGGAGAGTAGATCTCATGAGACCAGAGCAGGTTAGGCTCTTGATTCTATTTATCTGCCGGTCCTACCAGAGGATCATGGTGTTCAGGAATAAACAGGCCCCATTTCCCCAAAGCTGAAGGGCACTAGGTGCTCCAGTGTCCACTCTAAACTAAAGTTGGGCAGGCCTAAACTAGTTGGCATTTTCCACTTTGTTCACTTTGGCACCGGATGGAAGTGTAAATGCATTTCATTTCCTGTAAAATGGTTGAAAAGTGATTTTCAATTGAGAATCTAATAAAATGTGAAGGGGGTAGTTGAGCATTTACTGAATGTGCTCATGAGTATCTCCTTTCACTTTAGACCATATACTTGTTTTCCTTGGCTTTTGATGTCCCCACAGAAAATCCACTTTTTCTGTGTAATGATTGCTCTGGTGTGAGAAGGAAGTGTGGCTAAGGTTGTATTCTGGAAGCATCACATTTGTTTTCAAATGCCTCAGTTTGGCATGGAAGGGTCCTCAGAGCAGGGTTTCCCACATGCTGGTCTGGTGATGGTTGCCAAGTTGGCTGCATCAAAATCACCTACGTTGTTTATTGAAGCTATTTGCTCTTTAGCTCCAAGCATAGAGATTCTGATTCATTAGGTCTTGGATAGGCTCTGGGAATCTGTGTTTCTTCCTAGCTCTACAAATAATTGTGAATTAAGTTTAGAGATCAGTATGTCAGTTGGGTAGCAGGGGAACAGCAAACTCAAAGGGATTATTAAAGAAATGTTAATACAAGTGTGTGGCCAAGTTTAAGAGGAACTTTTAAGGGATAACGAGGCATCCATAGCCAGTAGTCATGGGAAATAGGCGCAAGGGGGAGAAGTAGTTATCAGACCCTGGTGAAATTTGTAGGTGTAAAAGAGGACTGGTGGAGGGGAACAATGGACAGCCATTGTCAATCCATGGTCCAGCAGGGAGAAAAAACCTCTCCACCTTTTGCCCCTTGATCTCTTCCTGGTGCTTTTGGCCAAACCAAAAGGACCAGACAGTCCTGGCAATGCGGTCTATAGAAGTCAGACTCTTGAGACACCAAACAAGATGGAGAAACTAGAGAGTGGACCTGGAGGGGTAAATAAAGAATAACTAGCTCATGTTGGTATAGATGACATTTTCTAGTCACACATTTGTGTCAATATGTGAATGACAAATAGGCAGGTATGTTTTGTTTTACAGACATGCTTTTTTTCTTGGTATAAAATTGCCTCCTCCACAATTTCATCATAGAGACTGGAAACTTTTAAAGAACAGAGGTGACATCTTTAGAATTGGCTTCCTGTACTCTGCCCATGGTTCAGCCAGTTCATATTCCTTCTTTTGAAAGGGCTTTAAGGAGAATCTTTTGGAAGATCATAACTGTCTACCTGGTTGTCAACTTTACATTTAGTAATATATTTTTAGGATGTTCTATTCTCTCTTATTAAGTAATTGTGAATCTGTATCATTCCATATTCTTTTTTTTTTAAAGATTATATTTCTTTATTTGACAGAGAGATCACAAGTAGGCAGAGAGGCAGGCAGAGAGAGGGGGAAGCAGGCTCCCCGCTGGGCGGAGAGCCCCATGTGGGGCTTGATCCCAGGACCCTGAGATCATGACCAGAGCTGAAGGCAGGGGCTTTAACCCACTGAGCCACCCAGGTGCCCCTCTTTTTTTTTTTTTTAAGATTTTATTTATTTATTTGACAGAGAGAGAGAGATCACAAGTAGGCAGAGAGACAGGCAGAGAGAGAGAGGAAGCAGGCTCCCTGCTGAGCAGAGAGCCCGATGTGGGACTCAATCCCAGAACCCTGAGATCATGACCTGAGCCGAAGGCAGAGGCTTAACCCACTGAGCCACCCAGGCACCCCTGTATCATTCTATATTCTTTTTTTTTTTTTTTTTTTTTAAGATTTTATTTATTTGACAGAGAGAGATCACAAGCAGGCAGAGAGGCAGGAAGAGAGAGAAGAGGAAGCAGGCTCCCTGCTGAGCAGAGAGCCCGATGCGGGGCTCGATCCCAGGACCCCGAGATCATGACCCGAGGCGAAGGCAGCGGCTTAACCCACTGAGCCACCCAGGTGCCCCATCATTCTATATTCTTGAGGTGACTTTTACTCTGGAGGAAACTGTTTGTATTTGTAACCAACAGGATCTTCATGCTGAATGTCTCCTTAAAGAAACCACGTTATTATACTTCTTAAAAGATTGCATTCAGTGGTATTGCTTTCTTTTGGTTTTATGTTAAACATTCATTTCACTGTGTTTGAAGCATACATTTAATGCTCATTAGTAATTATAACTCCACATCAGAAGGATTGGGTTGATTTTGATTTTAGTATGTTGTCTATGAAGATTTGAGCACATTCTAAAATACAGCAGTGAAAGAAACTTTATAGAAACTCTCCATGGAATCTCCTGGAGATTTTTTCTGTAGCTTCTGTTTTAAGACTCCAGCCCCTTCCCCCAATGAGGAAGTTTTGGGCATTTAGAGTCCCCTTTCCTGATGGGAACTAACCACCACTCAAAAACAAAAACTTGTATTACAGCAATTCATTAGGCCACCTGGGCATGTCCTGGTCTCCCACCAAGGGAATAATATGCATACCAGTTGTCAACATCTTCTAAGTACCTACTGCATCCTAGGCACTTTACATGCCATTTAGTCCTTCCAGTTGCTTAGGCAGAAAGCTTGGAATAAACTTTGGGTCCTTTCCCACCACATATCTATCTACATAAATCTGTCAACAATTCCAGAAGCCACTACTTTCAAAATATGTCCAGAATCTGGTCATTTCTCACCACATGCAGTGCAGGGCATTTGTTCAAATCACCATCATCTCTCCCCTGGATTAGTTAGTCACATCCTAAATGTTTTGTCTGTCTCTTCCTTCTCCCTTCCATCTTTTTCCTAGAGAGCAAGCAGAGGAAGCCCTGTAAAGATTATCATGTAGTTCCTCTATTTATACCCTCCAGTGGCTCCTATCTCGCTCAGAAGAAAAGCCAAAGGCGTTACCAAAGCTTTATAAGGCTGAACCCTCATTTTTCCTCAGCTGTCTCTCTGACCTCATCTGCTTTCACTCTCGCCTTCCCTCACTATATTCCAGCGACAGCATGCTCCTGCTTCCCAGTCTTTACATATGCCATTCCTTCTTCTTACTGTGTTCTCCCTCCAGTTTTTTGCCTGGCTTACTCTCTCATTTCATCTAGATCTCTTAAAATATGACCCTGTAAGAGAAGACTACACTGACTACCATATATAGAGCGCCCACCTGAATCACTCTTCACTGCGTTATTTTTCCTCTTAGTGCGTATCACAATCAGACATATTTACCTGCTTGTGTCATCCCCACAAGAATGAAAACTTCTTAAAGACCAAGACTGTGGAGTTCACTGCTCTATCTCTGGCCTGTGTTTTAGTACATGGCACATAGATGGTGCTCATCAAATATTGGTGAAGTGAATGCATGGATTTATGAGTATATCAGTTATTCTCAAGAAGAATATGATCTAGCATTTAGCAAAAATAACTCAGAAAAGTTTCATCTTAAGTAACATTGTATTGAGTACTCATCTGATAAGCATCTTATCAACCTTATTGCCAATGAGGGATGTTTTGGTTTACTGCAAAGGAAGGAAATACGCATATTATACATACACACTCCCCTACATATATATATACACATGTGTATATGTTCTATACGAATGTGTATGTCCATATATGTATGAATGTATGAGTGTGTGGAAGAATGTGTGTATGTGTGTGTGTACGAGTATGAGTGTGTTTGTACATAAATTTTTTTTGGCCCAGGAAGGAGATGTCTTCCTACTCATTATCTCACTGGAGAATCTCCGTCTTCTACCCTAGGAGTCAGTGCCAGAGGTGGACCTGGAAAAAGGAGACAGTGAGGCCATGCACATGAATGAAGAGACCTGACTGTGGACTGTTAGAGAAATTTATTAAAGGGTTGGACAGTATTCCTCATGGTCTTTGTGAAGCCTTGGACTTCCTAACTGCCAGTGCAATGCGGTATGACAAAGATAATAGCTTTTTTTCAGAAGTTCAGTTTTCTATTCCTACCTTGGAAAGCAGTAGCTTAATGAACCTGAGTGGTCAACATTTGTGGTACTCCTCTCTCTCTTCCAGGACCTTTTGAAATATATGTTTTTTGAATTTAGTTTTGCCGGAAAAATCTGCATCCAATTTGAATGAAATTGAATACGTTTCAGGGCTCAAGCAGCATGTCTTCCATCTGAAGCAAAATGGAGATGAATTTCAATTAGATGTTCCCATTATAATCTGTCTCCACCTGTAGTTTTCATCAAAAATTGCTAAGAAGTGTGGTATAATATATGATCAGGATTTGCCCACTGGCCGTAGTGTCCCATTATCTTAGTAAAAAAGCACAAAATAATTAGTCTGATGCATATAGATAGCAGCTTCTTACAGCGAGTGACTTTAATTGTGGTGAGTAATATATACAAAGTTTGAAGTATTATATATTTCCCTCCCAAGAAGACACCAATTACCAATTCAGTTGACAAAGTAACAATGTTTCAGAAGATTTAATGAAAACAGAACATCGTAGTCAATAGCCACTGCAAAATGTCCATTTTATGGCCTTATTTTTT